TGTGTGTGTGTGTGTGTGTGGATGAGTGGATGAGTGGCTGAACAAGCAGCAGCAGGACAGAGAGAGAGGGAGATGGGGTGGTGTGGGGAGAGAGATTGGGGATGGAAGAAAGAGAGGGAGAGAGGATATGTTCAGTCAGAGAGGACACACTCCACTGGCTGTGATTGAAGTATGGGCCAATTAACACGAGGAGCATTGAGCCCCAGCTGCACTCTTCTCTTCATTCCTCCACTCCCCCACACTGCCATATTACCCCCCCCCATCCACACACACACACACACACAAAGACATTGATACACTCACATATATCCACACTGTGGGCACCACACTGTGCTGCCACTTTATCTTATCTTTTACTATAGCACAGTTCTGGAGCTGAGGAAATTATAGAGGCCGCGTGCAGCAGTGTTTCTCGAGCACACTGCGGCCTTAAATGTGGACGAATGAGAGGAAAAATGGATGGAGTCTTCATCTTCAGGCCCGGAATTCTCTTTCACGCCACTCCCAGTGACTCACAGAGCCTCTCTTGCAATTTCTCCTGTACGGCGTACAGTAGACATAGTCTGCATACATTCCAGATGTTCTGTGTTGCTGCGGCGAGCTGATTCAGTGCAGCCGGTGCCACAGGCAGCGGGGAGCGGGTCCATTACTCCGCGTGACAGAACGGAATGAAGCAGCAGAGCCCCGACGTTTCGGGGGGGGGGGGGATAAACACAACGCCAAAACGCTGCACTTCCACAGCGTCACACTCCAGACTCCTTTTCCCCCGTTCCCATTTTCCCCCTGCAGATCGGATGCAGCACGCCGCCTCCGTTGGCGCTGAGCGGGAAAGGGGCTCAGAGGGCCGCTTAACTCCTCTCTCCCCGCGACTCACTCTCCACCGCGGGCGCTCGCCGGAAGCTGGAGCATTGAGGGGAAGTCGGGGATCTGATGCTCTAACACGTTGGGGGTTGTTCTCCCACCATCGCACTGACAGCCAAGAATCAATTTTTCATTTTGTCTTCAGAGACTATGTAACTTTTCTGTTTCTTTGGAGTTTGCAGGATGAAGGGCATGTACAGTAGGCTTCAATCCTGCACAAAGGAACATACTTTCAAAGTGGTTGAGTTGCCTTCAGCTACGCAAAACTGCAAAGCCGCGTTCTAAGCCAGCGGAGCTCCACGTGCGGCACTCATTAATACCTGCGTGTAACCACAGTGGACGTGTAACGCGGCGTGATGAAATGGTCGAGCGCCGATGTGTTTGGATTGTGAAGTATTGACTGGCACTTTTGAAAGAGGAGACGGGCTTGTTTTCTCTCTCTCCTTGATTAGCTGTCTCTGTCGGCCTCTCTGCGAATATTCCTCAAGGTGTTTTTAGTTTGCTTCAAACGGTCGCTGGCATCTATGCCGGCTGTAAATGCCACTTTCTTTGTTTAAAGAAAAATAAAATAAACAGGCTCAGACGCAACATAATGATAGGTACAGAAAACTGCTTATTAAAATGATCAAATTACTCTTATGAAATCCAAAGGCATTCAAGAAAATAAAACATTACACTATTTATCCAACTAACGCAAACACTGAATAACCAAAAGGAACATATTATCATCCAAATGTTACACTGCACATTATATCAGGCTGCTGTGCCTATTAACTAAGTGATTCCTTACCTTGAACCCTGCCCAGGGAAAACTAACATCCTTTTGACTAATGAATTCTAATTTAAGCTTTCCCTTGGTTATAGACGATCCTTTGCAGTACTGAATAAGAAAACTGGAGAAGATCATTTTTTTTTCATAGGGAAGCGAAAAAATATACAAAAATGTGAACATTGCATTTCAACAAAAGATCCATTTATGGTAGAAAAATCAAATGAAACCGTAATCTCTTTTCTCCTTCTCTCTGCTTTCCCCTCTCTGTGTGAGTGTGTTCCGGTGTGTGTGCGTGAGTTTGTGCGCGTTCGCTGGTTGTGAGCCATCTCGCCGCGCTCGTTATGTGATTCAGTTTGCAGTATTCCTCCTATTGGAGCGCGTAATGAACTGCAGGATACATAGGACACATTGAGACGATGATTGGATCATTGCTTTAGTTGTACTTGTGCTTCGCAGTGGCGGGACTCTGTGAGGTCTTGGAACAGGACACTTGACAGGGAAAGTGGATGTTGCACATATAAGCACACTGTGTTCGCACTTCCCGACCAGGCTCACTGTGATGGAGAAGCGCAGGCTGGTTGAGCAGTGCAACGTAAACACCTCGTGGTGGTGTGGGGGGGATGCAGCGATGGGCCTCACAGCAAACGGCTCACAGAGTCGTCACAGTGGAAAACCGCTGACTGTTTTCCTGCAGCTTCGTCTCTGTCCTTGCCATCGCGCTCCGCCGCCTAGAAGAAAACAACAACAACAAAGACAAAACAAAACAACAAAAGCCCTGTTTTTCTCCCTCTCCCCTTCATTATTACTTCTCCCCCCCCTCCCCTCCTACTAACAGGTCTGTCTCTCCCTACATCTCCCCAAGTCTCTTTTACTTACCCGAATCTGTCTGCCTCCCTCTCATTCCACCTCATTCCTCCATCCTCCATCCTGCTTTGCGTGTAACTCCTGCACCACACACACACACACACACACACACACACACACACACACACACACACACACAGCTCTGTCACTCAAAACAGGTTGTTAGGCTTACTTTTTTAGGCCATACACGTATACACATCGCAGTAATCGATATTTATTTTCCTACTCTCCTCATATATTTTTCCGCCCTCTCCACCTTCTGCTACACTTTGTCCTCCTTTCCTCCGCTTGAAGCTGCCCCCCTCGCCTCCATCAATCACTCAGTCCTTGAGCCATTTACGCTGCCTTTTCTGTGCGCTTCATTTCACCGCATTCTCGTTTCTCTGCTCCATTTCTCATACTTTTTTAGACTTCTGTTTCTTCTTTTGTCTCCTTGTCTTTGCTACTTTCTTTTTCATTCCGAAATCCCGATCGCGTTGAACAAAAATCGACAGTCTGGGACAAAAAAGTCGGATGAAGACGGAGCGGCAGACACGGAGAGGAGCAGAGGGGAAATGGAAGCGCAGGGAGGGAGAGTGGCTTGGAGAGAATATTATGTGTTAATCAATGCAATTGTGTTTGGTACCTGAAGCCGGGAAAATAGGGAAAAGAGACGGGGACGTCTACGGAGAGACGGCGCGGTGAGAAAGTGAGATGGGAATGGAGAAAAGGAAGGGAGGGCAGTTGGCACCAGAAGTAAATTGAAAATGATGTGCTGTGTTTTTGTGCGTGTGGCTCACATATTAACCCAACCATCTCTCAGGTAGTCATTATCTTCCCATGTGGGTGTTTGTTGTGAGTGTGTGCATGACTATGTGTGTGTGGGAGGGGGGGGGGTGTATACGTGTTTGCGCTCACCGCATTAACCCTCGTGTCTCTCTATCATTAAGCTGCTCTACGGGCGCAGGGCAGCCGCGCATTCATCTTCAGCGAGCTGCGTCTGCTTATTCCAGCGCTCACATGCGTTTTATGTGTGTGTGTGTGTGTGTGTGTGCGTGCATGCAGCTGTGTGAGAGCCGGTGTGTTTACAGGGATCTTAATTGTTATTATCAGTCATGCAGCACAATAACCACCTCCGCCCCACATCTTTGTCTCTGTCTGCTCTCTCTCTCTCTCTCTCTCTCCCTCTCACCCTGCTTCCCTCCGACGGCCAGATTCTATTTTTCCTCATATTGTTTCTGCTCAGCCTGCAGCCTAAATAGCACCCATTTCATCTTCTCTCTTTCTTTTCCTTCCCCGCTGCATTCCATATTCGTCCAGCGTTTTCTCTCCAGCCAAAGCGAACTTTTATTACCCCGTGATTGGATTCAAAATTCATTACTCCATCTCGCCTGTATGTATAACTGATCAGTCTTTCTGTTTTCCCCCACTCCTTCCCTCTCGCTGGTCCACACCTCCTCTTTCATCTCTGCGCCTCCTTCTTTTCCTTTCCTGATTTGCTGTTGTCCGTACCCGACGTTAAAAGTCAAACTAACCGTTCTACTCTTTGCTGTCTCCTCTTTCTTTCAGGCATCCTGCTTTAGTGCGATATATATATCTGCCTCCCCCCCTCGGCAGGTTGCCATGGTCGCCATACCTACTCTCTCTCTTCTATTGGTCCTGGCAGAGTGGGCAGGTCTGGTGGACAGCTCCCCCCACCTCCTGCTCCGGCCCAGTACGCGGGAACGTGATGCGGGGGCCATGATAAACTTCAACATCGCCGTGATCCACGCCGGTGCTACGGTGCAGGCCGAGGCAGCGGTGGCGGCGCCTGGGGGGAGGGTGCTCTACCCCGGCTTCGGCCGGGTATACAGCTCCCTGGGGGAGAGCGTGGTCACCAGTGGGAATCTGCTAACGTCATCTGGCTAACAGGTTGGGATACTGTCTCCTCCACCTACCGCTCATCCAGCCTTTCTGAAGAAAGGGAATAACAATGACCATCCATTATTTCATACTCACTCCCCATTATTCGAGCTGAAATGAGCAACACACTGCTGCAGTTGTGTTGGCCCTGCTGAATGAGCGGGCGTCCGCCTCTGCTTTTTGACCACAGTTTGTATTGTTGGCCACACATGTCACGCATGCTACAGACGCTTTCCATATGAATAACACAAAGTCAAGATGAAGAGTCCCCGGGCTGGTCAACTCTTCTTTCTCTCTTGTCTGTCTGTTCCTCTCTGTCTTCATGGCGTCTATCATCTCCCAGGTGAATGACAGTAGCCCTAAGACGGTGCTGTCCCAGCTGTGTGAGCTGCTGGCGGCGCGGCCCCTGCAGGGACTGGTTTATGAAGAGGCGAGGCCCCCTCGCACGGCCTGGGGTCCATTGGCCCCAATGCTGGAGTTTGTCTCCGCCCAAACAGGACTGCCCATAGTGGCTGTAGGAGGGGGAGCGGGGCTGGGGAGGATGCCACAGGTAGGAGGAGGGAGGTTGGGATGGGGGTGGGGGAGTAAAGAGCACGTGTTTGCAGCCTGTGTGTGTGTGAGGTGTGTGGGGGAGGCGGGGGGAATCGGAGGATTACAAGGGGCCAGATGTCCCAGTAGTTTGATTCTGTAGCTCCACGTGTGAGCGCTGTGAACAGTGTGAAATCGGTGCGTGCTGTATACTAAAGCAGTATGGATTGACAGCTCTAGGAATAGAGTATAAAAGGCGAGCTGCTTATATTGCAGTAACAACTTACAATGTCAGAATGTTGCGCATCCTCTCTGTGAAGAAAAGCTTTGGGCAAGTGCCGGTGGGACGGAGGGGAAGCTGAAGCGTCAGGGTCGCTGATCTGCCAAAACTCTGCAGTGTTTGATCTGTAAATGGCACCAACTGGGGCTGTCGCTCTGCCTCTGATGTTCCTGGGAGGGAGGCAACGAGAAGACATGTGTGTGTGTGTGTGTGTGTGTGTGTGTATGTGTGTGTGTGTGTGTATGTGTGTATTTGTGTGTGTGCACGAGAAAAAATAATGTCAGATGGTTTTTACCACCACATGGGGTGGGAAAGAGAAACCAAAGAGCGTAGCATTTGTACTTACAAAAAACTGCTTTAACCATTTACTCTTGAAGAATTAAATTGTAGCACTTTGATGAACCTCCTTTGAAGACCAACCCTCGCCTAGTCCTGCACCCCCCCCCCCCAACCCCCCTCCCCTCCCATCCTGTGAATAGACTTTTTAAGAAACACTCCCTTCTGGACGTCAGAGGAGAATTTGTGCAACAAAGCTGTTTTAGCCTTCCGGCTGCACGAGTGCTGCCGCTCCGTAAAAACTTCACGCCCTGCGATGCCTCCATGTTGTGCATAAAGACGGAGCGGTCCAGAGAGTTGTAGTCCCTTCTAGTGAAAATGCTCTCTGTTACTGCCTTTTATTGCAGCTGCATTTTAGATACTGTACAACTGCAAGAGGATGAATGTTCCACTGAAATTTTCAATCGAATGTGCTGCTCTCTTTCCCCAAATCAGGAATCAGGTTCCATCTTTCTCCAGTTCAGCTCCTCTACTACCCTACAATTAGAGGTCATCTTTGAGGTGCTGGAGGAGTATGACTGGACGTCTTTTTCCGTCGTGTCCACGCGTCACCATGGCTACCAGGACTTCCTATCTGTGGTGGAGGGCCTGACGGACGGCTCCTTCATCGGCTGGGAGAAGAAGAGTGTGGTGATCCTGAACGTGACCGATGACCCCGGAGGGGCTCGCACGCGCAGGCTGCTGAAGGAGAACGAGGCGCAGGTGAGACAGGGGGGAGGGAGGGGGGAAATGGGGGAGGAAAGGGGAGGAAGTGCTGCAAATCTCGTTGGGGGCCCCCTCTCTGACAGGTGGCTTCCGAGCTTTTTCCTTCCTTCTTCGTCTCTCCCTCTGTCCCTCCACATCTCTCTCTCCCCTCTCTCCTCTATCCCTCTGTTCTTCTCTCCCCCTCCCATCGGCCAGGGCATGAAGAGTCCAACGGTACAACACAAACCACGAGTCAGTCTGATTGGCTGGATGATGGTATTGTAGAAAGAGTTATGTGCAATGGGCTGCAGGAGGTAACCACTTAGCATACAACCCCCCACCCCCCCTGCTTTATTCTACTAAAGTGAAGAAGAAATAACATCTCGTTCCGAACAGTCTGTCAGTCTCACACACACACACACACACACACACACACACAATGAGCTCTGTAGTATTTTGCATCTGCGTGTTGTAGCTCTTCATTGAATCGGTGAATGATGTTTACACACAGTGGAACATTTTCAGGAAATATTTGAGATGTCTCGTGCATTATTTTATACCCGCAACCCCCTCCCCAAAAAATTCAGGCTTGTCTCTATGGCAACTCTGAGGTCTTTCTCTGTGTACGCTGTCTATATTTTGGTGAAAAAACATTCCAAAGTGAGTTTGATCCATTGATGAGCAGAACGACTCGTGGTTTTGGCTTACCTCTAGTGCGTCTTGTTCTGTCGTGCCTGCTTCCTCTGCCCCGGTTCCTTCCCTTCCTTTCCTTACTTTTTAAGCCCACAATTATCATCATCATCCTTTAAACCTCCTCTTTCACCCCATGATCCTCCGCTTCAATTTGTAACTCATCTGTGTGTTCTTACTCTCGCTCCTGGTCCTCCCCGTCCTCCCCCCTCTACCTCCACTTGTGTGTTTCTTTGCCTGGAGACAGGCTGCCTTCCCGTTCACCTCCATCTTTCTTTCATTCCTTCGGTCCATCCTGCTTCCTGCACGTCTACTCGCTCTATACGTTGTGTCTCAATGTCATAATGTCCCAAGCATGGCCGCTGCAGCTCTGCGTGTGTGTGTTTGTGTGTGAGTGTGTGCGTGTGAGTGTGTGTGTGTGTTGGTTTGTGTCACTGTTAATATGACATACAGCCTGCAGCAGATCGCCTGTACGCGCAGTGCTTGCCTCGTAACCCTCGTACTTTTTTACAACAAACCCGCTGCTTTAGCTTTTTACAACTGCAGGGCTAATAAATGCTTGTGATTGCTCAGTGATGCTGTGGATGTTTGCATTATGCTCCCTCTCTCTCTCTGTCTCTCTGTCTCTCTCTCTGTCTCACTGCCACATATGGTAACGCCCTTCTACGTCGTCGATGGCTTCATGCAGGGTCTGCGGGCCCATTTCTACTCAAATCTCACAATGTCTATCTGGGGTTTCATTCCTCTTCCCTGCTTCTGCTTTTGTCAGTGTTTCTTCTGCTTTTCTCTCTGTATTTTCCTCTCTTTCTCCATTTTCCCGTCTTTGGACATTGTGTGTGTCTGTTTATAACTCTGATTCTCTCCTCCTTCCCACCACGATTCAGTCTGTTGCCTTCTTTCTCCATCCTGCCCTCCTTCCTCCTCCTCCTCCTCCTCCCCCTCTGTCACTCTCACTCCCTGCCTAATTCACTGGAGCTTTATTGGCATACAGGCAGGATTGTTTTGCCAAGCCATTACAGTTCAAAATTCAATGAAGGCACAGTTCTCAAAATGTCTGCCCCCCCCACACACACATCCATGAATCAGTTTTCCCCCCACTTTTTTTCTCCTTTGTCTCCTTACTGTGTGATCTAAAGACTCACACTCTTTCATTCTTCTTATGTATCTTTGTCAGCATTTCCTCTTTATGCTAAACGTTAAGCCCTTGAGACCCTCTTTGGTCGATTTCTACCCCCCCCCGCACCCCTCTTTACCTCAGCACTTTCTGCTGAGCGCTCGTCCACTGTCACAGCTGCCTTCCTCTGTTGTCTTCTTACTCCCCAGCGCCACTCCATCACACCCCCCCCCCCCCCACTCTTCTTTGCAAATATCTCTCCAGGCGCAGATTTGACCAAAATATGTCATCCTCTGCCTTCCTTCACCCCCCCCCCTACTTTCCCTTCTCCAAGGAGTGACTTTTCTGTTTTCCCACCTTTCATTACTTCTCTCTTTCCGCATCAGCCACCTCCTCCTGAAGTCTTCGCGTTTCTCTTCCGCCCTGCTTTTAATAACATATGTCAGCTTAACTTCTTCCCCCTTTTTCTTTTCCCTCAGGTGTGTTTGGTCTTTAACTGCCTCGCCCATCCCCCCCCCCCCCCCCCTAAACTCTCTTGCCTCTCCGCTCTACCGCTTACACTTGTTTCATTTTCCCTGTCTCGTTTAAGTCCTGTTTTCATTATTCATAACTGTTTCTTGTTTCATCAGGCCCGAGCTCATTAAGCGCTGACCCCCGTTGCCCCCCCCCCCCCCCCCCCCCCCCCCCCCCCGTTCACCCTTCTGGTTAGCATTCATCACATGCGGCCATGCGTTATTTTTGTCTTGAATCATACGTCCAACTCCCACCAACCTTATCACGTCAGCTTACAGCTATCTCCCCTCTCTCCTCTTGCCGGCCCTCTTGTCTCCCCCCCCCCCCCCCTTGATCCGGCCGTCTCTATCATACCTCCACGCCTCCCGTTGAGCCGCACCTCTGCTCCAGCTCCATCTTTCTCCCCCCTTGATCCTCCCACCCTCTGTCTCTCTCCACGTCTCCCCTCCTTATCTCACTAGTGTGTATCTGTGTGTGTGTGTGTGTGTGTGTGTCTCCCCTCGTCCCTATTCCCTCCCTGGCTTCCTGCGGTCCTCCAGGTACGTTTGCTGTACTGCTCCCAGGAGGAGGCTGAGCTGGTCTTTCAAGCCGCCTGGGCCGCCGGGCAGGCCGGAGCCTCGCACATGTGGTTTGCCGTGGGGCCGGCTCTCTCAGGTCTGAGCATGGACAGCCTGCCCAGGGCCGTGTTTGCCGTGCGGCCCCAGGGCTGGAGGGACGAACCTCGACGGAGGATCGCTCGCGGGGTGTCTGTGCTGACTCATGCGGCGGTGGCCATGCGCAAGGATTACGGAACCACGGGTGGGCCGAACTTTGTCACCAACTGCATGACGGACGCCAATCAGACCCAGAGACTGCGGGGCAGGATGAGGTGAGAGAGAGAGAGAGATAAGAGGAAGGAGGAAAGCAGGCAGTTGGCAGGCTCCGGACAAAATGTATTGAGACGGCATCAGGTGTATTCTGTGAAACGAGGTGGTTTAGCGCCAGAATGAGCTGGAAAGGGAAACGGGGGAGTTGGTAGATTCAGTGTCAGAGAGCAGGCGCAGAGGGGATATCTGAGTTTGGAGCTGGCTATCAATCATGCAAAATAGATGTTGTTGGTGCATGTAGTTGTGAGTTGGCAAAATTACCCCAGCGTCTGTAGCAAGTGGACCATGTCTCATGTTTATTAATGAGCCAGCTGTAATTTATTCCTTGTTGGCTGTGCAAACAGGCAGCAGCAAACTCTAACAGGTAGCTCAACTGGTTCCAGGTTATCATCCTTTTTCGTTTCCAACGGCATTTATCCGTGCTCCAAATATTCAACAAACACATAACAATTGTATTGAGAAGTTTGGTCTGTGTAATAAGTCCAACCCGAGTTAATTTACAGTTTTTTTATATTTTTAAATGAAGCACAAACAGTCTGTTTACATGAATGAACTCCTTGTTAGTAAATCCAATCTAGCATAAGGAGTAAGTTGTTTGTATTTATATTTATTTATTTGCAGTGCTGCCTACTGTTCACTTTCTGAAACTACAAGCTGCCATCCATGTACGTCTCCTGTCATGTAAAAATCAAAAAGCCTTCAAGTTTTTGTGCTTTGAAGCCAGCAAGATGACACGAGGAGACAATTAGTACGTCTGTCCCGTCTGATAATCAGAGGAACTATGGAGCTCGCAGGCGATGCACAGAGCAGCAGTTGTTTGACTTCAAAGATAACTGACAATTCCGTGTGTCTGATCATTTGTCTGTAGATTTGATCAACACACAAGGCCTTTCCGTCACCACAGAGGTGCCGTGATTTAGTTTTCAAGTGGCAACGCTCACTCTTGGTTCAAAAACAGCCTTACGACTCTGTATTTTCTCTGTATTTTCCCCACAACAATTAGTTGATTTACTAATTGCATGTGTTTTCTGTCAATTTCATCCATTGCGAAACAGGTATTTCAGCAACATCACGCTTCGTGGTCGAGACTATTCCTTCAATAGTGATGGATACCTGTCCAACCCCTTCCTCGATGTAATCTCCTGGACACCTGGACGTGGATGGGAAGATGTAAGGACATGACATTAGTTATTGATGTCTAACCATGCGTTCTGAGTCTTATTTGAGAAGAGAAAAGAGCATCAATCCCACGATAGACTTGATTGATCACTGTTTGGTTGTTTGAACTCTGGGATTTGTGAGAAAATGCACAGAGCAGATTGTGTGCTGATCGGTATTTGAGTCTCAATTGCTCCGTGTAAACTAGAGGAGCAGATCCATGCTGCGTTGGTATTTGAAATAAAAACATAGACCTGCCAGTGAGAAAAGTCATGGCGCACGTGTTCATGTTCATGTAAAGTTCAGTTGGCTGTTGGTCCCGAGGCAGAGGGGAGAGACGGGCTAGTGTGCTTTGTGTGCTCCTGTGAGCCTGTTCTGATTCAACTGTCTCTCTCTAACTCTGATATTTCCTAGATAAAACACACTCACGCAACACCAATTCACAAACAAATGCACAAACATCCTCCGGGGTCTGAATCAATTAAATTAAAGAATGGGTTGATATGTGTCGATTCCCTGCTACATGCCCATGTGTCACTTTGAAGATCTATCAATGTAATCTTCCCTCCTCTGCTGGTTGTGAAGCAGTACATTCCTCACTTTTTATTATTCTAAGGTAAGTGATGGAGAACATAATCTACAGTCTACAGGCTGTGTTTTGTATAAACAGACAGACGCACTCTATCGACTGTTGGACTTTCACGTAGTCTTTGTTGATTTTTTCCTTGCATAAAAAAAAGAGGTCTGTGGGTTTGGCCCCCTGCATCTGTTACATCTTTTATACATATAGCACACATGGGTATGAGAGAGACTTTGAACTTTAAAATTTGAATTTAAAAAATGTGAACCTGTCCTGCTTTCGATATACTGTAATAATAATAAGAATGCTCTGATGTTGCTCGATCAATTTGTGCTGTTTTGCTGCTTGCGTTTTCAGATTGTTGGTGTCATTACCATCTGGTTGCAGACCCACCATTGTTTTGTGTGTTTGTCTTGTATGCGTGTCTAAAGCACCAGTACCCCTGGCGTGTCATGCATATTGTATTAAGCTGAGGTTTGTTCCTGAAATCCCTAATACGACACCTTGTCACCTGCTGAAGATGTTTTCCCTTTAATACGCTGGGATTTTGCCCTTGTCAGTGTCAAAGGAGAGAGCGGCGCTCCTTTCCTCAACCACGCGCCAACACCTTGAGACACTGCACACGCATAAAGACACGCGGTACTCTCTGAACATACCCTCTGCACCGGCACACAATCACAAACCCTGCACTAATACAAATACTGATGCACCCACACACGCTTAAACCTACACACACACACACACACACACACACACACAAGCATAAATACACACATTGGTAGTTCTCAGCCTCCCGCTGATTTTAACAGCCCACCAGAGTCCAGTCTCAGCGTGTTGTAACATGCTGACTCCTGCCATATATCTCAAATCCCTTTCAATTAGAAGCTCCTGTGCTGGTCCTTCGACTCTGTGCAAACCAAGGGTGAGAAACCCGCCCACACACACACACACACACACACACACACACACACACATGCTTAGAACTCACATGCATACATCCACTTGTGTGTGCTTGCAAATGAGAGCTCATACCGATGCTTACATACATATGCTAACTCCCTTCTTGCATAAACCCGGTTGCATTATTGCACACAAACACACCCACGCACACACAATGAGGATCAGACGCCTGTATCTTCCTATTATGCACATCCACGCTGTTGGCTCCCCCTGAATATTTAATGTTCTCTTTACAATCACTGCACCATTACCTAAAGCCTGGGAGCACCCAGCTTAGATCAGTGAAAAACTGCCTAGTGACTAGTACTGAAGATTGTCCAGCATTAGCATAGGCAGGTTCAGCTACGGATACACAGGGAGCCAGATGTTGCAGGATATTACCATAGTTGGAGGAACATGCATTAACGGCACTTGTGGCAGCTAAGGTCTTTGTATACTGGTTCTTGGCCCTAAAACATTTGCCCAAAACCAGAATACTTTCCCTGCCTCAAAATATTCAATTTGAGTAATCTGAGGTGTTATGTTTTGGCTGTTCTCCTACTGACGTTTGCTTGTGCATTTTTCTAGGTTTTTGTCTGATAGAGCATACAGGAGAACACACTACTCTCTATCGGTTTTCTGTCTGTGTTCCCTGAGTGTGTTTTGATGGAACGTCGGTTGCAGAGTTGCGGTCAAGTGCAGTTGAAATACTGTCATTGTTGCCACCGTCTCCTCTTCTCGCTGCCTTTTCACAGGCTTTCCACAGACTGGCAGGTGGATTGTGTGTGTGACTTCAAATATACATATGGATTTCTGTTTGTACTGTATGTGCATGAGGGTACGGTACGTGCGCAAACTTTGTTGCCTCGGTTACACTTGGCAGGGCTTTTATGGTCGATCGTGACAACGCGTGTCAGGAAGGTTCACAGCGACAAAAACAGAAAAGTGTGGTTTTGCCTCACGTTGCTCTCAAAAGTCTGAATATGCCGAAGATCCAGCATCCAAAACTTCCAGAGAGCATAGGCAAGAAGAAGTGGAAAACAATGATATAGTCAAAGGGGTGTTTGACAAGCAGAGGACACAATCTGGGCTCCAAATATGTGGCACGAAACGCAGACTCAGTACTGGCTTACAAACTAATGCTACTATTCTGAAATGTACGTCCTGGCTAAATGTTGGGAGATGGTTGGCACTTCAAACGTAGCCGTCAACAGTGAGTACTCGTTAATTTATAACATTTAGTCTAAAATGACGATTAATATCAATAACATTTTTTAAATCCATTGACGGCGCTATTTAAAAGTATTGAGCGAATCTCCTCAAACCTTCCTCTACTTGCTCTGTGTTCAATAGCTCCATTGACATTACCTGGTTCTGTTTCTCGTTATAAACAAAGGGTGGCATCTATCAGCTGGTTGTGGTAGAAATGCATGTGTTTTGTGATGTAATGTTTCTCTTTTCTCCGTTCCCCCAGGTAGGCTGGTGGGAGAACGGTGTGCTGAGACTCCGTTACCCAGCGTGGTCCCGCTATGGGCCGTTCCTTAAACCACCTGACGATGCCCAGCACCTGCGCGTTGTCACGCTGGAGGAAAGGCCATTTGTCATTGTGGAGTTGGCAGACGCCGCATCTGGGACCTGCATCCGGGACTCAGTGCCTTGCAGACGACCGCTTAATGCCAGGTTTCAATTTTCGGGATTTAAGACACGGATGTGTTTTAATGTGGGATTTTGTGTTAATGACCTATTCCATGGCTTCACCGCAAACTATGACTTTTCACCAGTGGTAATGAAACAAAATCAAATTGTTAGATATCAAAGGAAAAAAATATAAATAGTAACCTCTCTATCGTATTTAACAGTGTTGTGAATGGAGTTCCTAAGCTCTCAGATGCCGTCCAATCGAGGTGACATCAATCACCTATCAAAACGGTGGTGTCTTCACTCCCTGGTCACAATCAATAACAGACTGCTCTCCAGAGGATCAGTGGAATGACTCAGGGGTCTGGGATCAGATATGATCGCAGTGAAGCTTTATGGTTCATCAGCTTCTGAGGGGATGACAGCACCTATCCTACCCTGGTCGATCAAACCTGTCACCAAGTGCCGGGCCACAAATCCCGCCGCTATGACCATTTTCTTCTGTTTTGCTCATTTTCCTTTCACACCATGACACACCAACCAGGATGCCGTTTATTAGCTTTTGCTTGGATGTTCCACTGATGTTTTCCTCTCTGTGACTCCTTCAAAGTGCCATCCATGAAGGTGTGGCTCCCATGAAGCAGTGCTGCAAGGGCTTCTGCATCGACATCCTCAAGAGATTGGCCAAGATTGTCGGCTTCACCTATGACCTTTACTTAGTGACCAACGGAAAACACGGGAAGAAAATCGATGGGGTTTGGAACGGCATGATTGGAGAGGCAAGTATTTTGTCTGTGTGTGTGTATCTGTGGTTCTGCCTGTCAATGTGTTCTCAATGTTGATCGTTCGTCACTTGCGGGGGGAAAGGGGGTTGCGTGAGATTTTTTGTTTATATCAGTGCTTCTGCATATTTTATGTTGCATTTTTTGTCTCCTCTGCCTATTGTCATGTGTCCAGGGTGAAAAGTTAAACACCACAAAACATCAATCGCTGTGAGAGCCATGGCCTCTCAACCACTGCCAGCCGTCAGACTGCTGTCGTTTATTACTCGCACAAACACAAATGTGCAGACAAAAACACTGTAAAATAGGGGGAAAAATGCACAGTTGAGAAGGAATGAGAAGGCAGGCTAACGTATGAGCATTCGCCTCCATTCCCCACAATATGTGGAGAGACACATCAAAGCGACTCACACATTGTCAGACACCCCCTGGCTGGTTGTGATTAGTCCTTGAGATTTTCTCTGCAAGAAACGCAGGTTCATGATACACCGAGATGCTGGAAAACACAGCGCTCACACGCACGCACTGAGATCGGAACGGGAGGAGGAGGGGGAGGGGGGGCTGATGTTTCTATCTCTATCTCGCTGGTTCCTAAACCGTTACGCTGCTTTCTCCTGCGCTCTCATCGATAACTTGAGCCGGGCCGGTGTTGTCTGTCGGATGTATTTTCACAAGCAAAAGGCCAAGAGAATTTTGTTTTTCTAAAACTAACGTCTGTCTTTTGATCAGATGTTTCAAAGCCTGACATTCTTTGATCAGGTAATCCGGAGACTTGGCAAAGTTGAGAGGAGGGGGGGGAGGGGGGTGCTTTGCTTTTCTGCTTTGCTTCATTTTTCTGCTGATTTGCTCTGAAGAGCGGATGTGCCATGTCTAATGTAGATTAACATTTCACTTGTACAATCAGCCGACACAGCGGTTTTAAGGTTTCCTGAGATGGTAGCGCGGAGGAGAAGGGCCCCAGCTCATTTCGTATGCTAAAGAGATGCACAAGAGACACATGTACCACTTGTACCAGATGGAATTCTTGGCCTTTCACATGCAGGCGCATTTGAGGATGTACAAAGGGTCAGGGTGTAAGAATGTCACTATCTCACCTGGAAATAAACCTTAGTGAACTGTGAAAGATGTTCTTTGTCCTGTCTTTCTTTGTCCCCGCCACAGGAATTACGAATAATTAGATTTCTCCCTTGTCCCCATTAGGTGGTATACAAGCGGGCCGACATGGCCATTGGCTCGCTGACTATCAATGAGGAGAGGTCCGAGGTCGTGGATTTCTCTGTCCCTTTTGTGGAGACGGGGATAAGTGTCATGGTCTCCCGTAGCAACGGAACTGTATCACCCTCGGCCTTCTTAGGTAAGAGGCTGTGTTTGTGTGTGGCGCCATAGCTGATGTACGGAATCTAATATACAGCACCAACGCCAAAGTGTTGAGTTTGCACAAAAAGCCTCGGCCTTCGGCTGCTGATCCTTACATCTAAATTAGCCGTTACTTTTTCCTTAGCCGCTCGTGTCTTCACAACTTGTAGTTTCACCCCCGTCAGCAGACTCCAGGCTCCAGTGGGAGAGCATTTATTGGCCTATAGACTGCATTGTGGTGATTGTTAAAAAGAAAAACAGTCTTTATAGACTTCTGGGGAATATGTTTCTCCAATGTTTATTCTGCAAACAGAGCTCATCTTTGTCTATACGGTACATAACGTGCTAGGATTATGAAACTTTACCGTCCCTTCTGGTGATAATTATAATGATTTCATGATTCAGCACAAAACCACCCTTCTGTTGTGTGTTTGTTCAAATCTTCCTTTGTTTCCCTACTTAGAGCCCTACAGTCCGGCGGTGTGGGTGATGATGTTTGTCATGTGCCTGACCGTAGTGGCTGTGACCGTCTTCATCTTCGAGTTCTTCAGCCCCGTGGGCTACAACCGCAGTCTCCAGAACGGCAAGAGTGAGTGATGGATCGAGGCCGTCTGTCTCTCCCGGTCTGATGGATGTGGCTCCATTGCTGTTGCTGCACGGATCAAATAGATAATCTTGCACACTCCTGGAATTTGGTCACAAGACAAAGTCAAAATGATCCGGTTTCTGTTGAGTTTGCTTCCATGCCTTCTGATCGGTCAGTTTTCACATTCATTTTCAATCCGCTCCCCTGAATCCTTTACTGCGAGTGTGGGGAAGAGGAAATTATACCTACAGAATGTTGAACTGCATCCAAGTATCCTCAATATTGAAACGGCCATTTATTATTCAAGAGCATAGTTTGTACCCCAGTGATATTGAGTGTGCGTGATGCCTCGGTCCAATACCCAGCACGACTCGCCTATTTTACTGCATGATTGCTGTGCTCTCCATAATTTTACCTCTCTGTCATCCTCCCTTAAAGCCCTCTCATTCATCCTCCTCTCCCTCCTCCCTTCCTCCTTTACTCCTATCGTATAAAGGAAGGAGTATTTGAGCCCTTTGAATGGGGATTTGCACTGTGTGGTTTAATCATTTGTAAGATCACGTAGGAGATTAATTGAAAGCTGCCATCCTGGAAACATATAGTCACCGTCTTTCAGTTTCCGTATCAAAAAGCCTGCAAGAAGTATTAATACACAGTAAACCTTTTTTACAGATCATTAGGGGAAGTTTAATTAGAATCAGCTGCTGTATCTGCAGTCAGACACTACTGAATGTACTATTATGCGGTTTACTTGCTTGATTGATGTCCACAAAAGAGTTAGGGTATTGACCGCTCATCACGCTCTCTCTTTACTCTTTCTCTCTTTTTTCCCACGTCGTCATTTTGGCCAGAGGTCGGAGGGTCTACCTTCACAATAGGAAAGTCTGTGTGGCTTTTGTGGGCCATCGTCTTCAACAACTCCGTGCCAGTGGAGAACCCCAGAGGAACCACAAGCAAAATTATGGTGCTGATCTGGGCCTTCTTTGCTGTCATCTTTCTGGCCTCCTACACGGCTAACCTGGCTGCCTTCATGATCCAGGAGGAGTACATTGACACGGTGTCTGGCCTCTCGGACAAGAAGGTACCTCACTGCTGGAATATTTATAACAAGTAGGCAGAGCAGAAGGAGAATTGATGAGAGTGAGCCATATCCTGAGCTTTTGAATGTAAAATTGATTAAAGCACAGAAATTTAGAAAGGAGTGAAATCTCAATTCAGTTCTAAGTACTATTTTAAGTTCATAGACTTCTCACAGACTGTACGACTGTGCACGGATGGAACAGAAATAGGTCAGACAGATTGGTGCACAGCCTTGTTGTGTCTCATGCCCCTTCCGTCTCCCTCCCTCCCTCGCCTCCCTCTGCTCCGCTAGTTTCAGCATCCCGAGGAGCAGTACCCACCTCTGAAGTTTGGCACGGTGCCCAACGGGAGCACAGAAAAAAACATCCGCTCCAACTACCCAGGCATGCACCAGTACATGGGCAAATACAACCAGAGAGGAGTGGAGGACGCTATACTTAACCTCAAGGAAGGGTCAGTCTGATGCTACATCAGCTTGTTCATGTCCTTCTACACATGCTCTCACAAGTGATAGTTCATCAGGTCACGCTTTCCTAGGATAACATTAACTTACATTGTTATTTAATTGTGACATGATATTTTCGGGACTTGCCTGTGTAAGTTCAACAGTTTAAAAACGGATCCATTTTAAAAGCTCTTTTACATTACATACAAAGGATACAAGTGGGAATGAAAATCTGTTCAATAGGAAGCAAATTCTGTCTTTAATCCTTCTTATAGAGGTTTGACATGATTTAACTTTCAATAGGAATGGTTTAAAAATGGCATTTGGCCATGACAAATCACCCAACATGTTTACTACATGACTTAGTTTTTGGCAGAGTCATCCTGACGTTCCATTCCATGATTATATTGTTTAGTTGTCCTCACCAATGGCCATCACACACATTCTTGTAACATTTCACATCTTTTGTCGCACTTTACCTCACAGAAAAAACAGTGCAGGTAGCATTTAGATGTATACATATATCAAAATGTACCATATATGTCCTGAATCTCGTGTTGAATAATCCCAGTTGACTTCATCCTGAGCCTCTCATCATTCCTCCCCTTTGCTTTGGCACCACCATTCTAACTTTGTGTTAACACACACATAAATGACAATCTCTCTTCCTCAGTGCTTATCTTACGCTTCCTCTTACACCTCATCTGCCCCCTTATCGTACCATTTCTCTCTTTTCTCTTTTTTCAGTCAATTCTTTCCCCACCCAGTGTGCTTTCTCCACGTGTCTGTATTTAAACTTTATAATCCTCATCTGTTCCTGGCTCTTTCCCATGTGTTTTCCGCCTGAGGTGTGTAAATCTTTCACCCCTCTCTCTCTCTCTCTCTCTCCCCCCCTGTCACTGCTCTCTTCGCACCGTATAAATCCCCATCCTCTTCCCCTCCCCCTCCACAATGCACCATCTTCCTGCTCCCTCTTACTCACCCTGATCTCTACCTTATTTTATTCTCCTTGTGGTTTCACTCTTCCCACCGAGCCTGCTTCACTATTCCACCCGTCCTCCCTTTTCTTGTTATGATTTAACTTTTCATGCCCTCTTTATCATTCCCAGCGCCCGTCTGCAGTACATTTTTGCACCATAACTTTCTTCTCAGGTACGCTGCAGCGATCCACCTTTACACCTCCTCCCCTGCCTCAGCCAGTCTCCCCGTCCCTCCGCTCCCTCACTCCCATTAAATGATGATTGAATTCTCCCTTACAGGAAACTGGATGCTTTTATTTATGATGCTGCAGTATTGAACTATATGGCCAGGAAGGACGAAGGTTGTAAGGTGAGTGCGAACCCTCGCAAGCACTTTTTCTTTACATACTAAAGTCATGTTGATCCGTTTCTTAGTCAGTCATTTTTTTTCATTTAACTTTTTTTTTAAATCTGCATATTGTCCTCTTTCTAAGGTGATGACCATAGGCTCGGGGAAGGTTTTTGCCACCACAGGCTACGGTATCGCCCTGCACAAAAACTCACGCTGGAAACGTCCTCTTGACCTGGCACTGCTGCAGCTGGTGGGAGATGGTGAGAACTGTGGGGAGGGGAGAGAAGAGGGGAGAGATAATTAGAACACTTGAGGGGCAAAGGGAAGGTTAGGGGTAAAATGACAGCGCAGACAAACAAACGACACAGTGGCACAGGGATGGGGGGTGTGGGGGGACACAGGGGGTAGATGAACGAGAGGATGTTGTGAAGTGGATGGTGGGAGTACGAGGTGTGGAGACAGCAATGGCTGTAAGGTGGTTTCAATTGTGAGGGAATAGTGGAGTGTAGGAGGGGGCTAATGGTGACGGTTAAGAGGTTTGTAGGTATCTGCTGGAAAAGTGGGGAAATGAAAGGGGAGTTGGGGGGGCAAGAGGAATATTATTTGGTTTCAGACATTGCCGAAATGACTTGATTCGGATGGTGAATGTGCACATTACTGCCCCCCGTTTTCCCTTCTCTTAATCCATCAGACTTTCACTCTCTTTCTCGTCTTCCCGGTTGGGTTTATAAATGGAAAATAACAGGATTTACGCGTGTGAGTCAGGTTTGCACGAGGAGATGATCACAACTTGTGTGGTGACAGATTTACACACATTACAGATTCTGACTCTGGAAGGGAGAAAAAACACCAGAGAAATGCCTGAAAAGACCCTAAACATGAAATGAGTGAACTGAAACAAAAAAACAGATGTATAACAGGGATCAGATAATTGATTATTAGTAAATGTATGAGCCTGATTCATTCGCTGTTGTTCACAATGCACTAATGCTCTACATTTTACAGTCCGCCACACGCATTTATTGTCTCAATCGGATGCTGCTTGTTTGGCTGTTCCTTGTGTTTTAAATCAGCTTTGCTTGTGGCGCGGCGGACGAAAGCCCTTTAGCGGGGTCTGGCACACGGACCCTTCGGCTGCTTGCACGCTGATAATGCCAATTTGGTGCCAAGATCTATTAAACAAGACTGGTGTCTGGAGCTGATTTGTTGGACCTAGACAAGAGTGTGTGTGTGTGTGTGTGTGTGTGTGTGTGTGTGTGTGTGTGTGTGTGTGTGTGTGTGTGTGTGTGTGTGTGTGTGTGTGTGTGTGTGTGTGTGTGTGTGTGTGTGCACGAAAGCAGAGAGCCCAGACGCCCATGACTGTTGTTTCCTTTACTTGGAGGCACATTCCCTCGTCCTTGCCTCCGCTCTCAGTAGCAAAAGCTCTTAACAGCAGCTGTGTGTGCTGGATGGATCTAGTGTCCAATGCTGAGGGTTATAGTTGTAGGCAGGTATTATTGGAGTGGATTACTAAGGAAGAAGATTAGTTTGTTTTGATGTAAGGGGCCGAAGTTGGGGAGGGGGGCTGTCACATTAAGGGCGCCCTGCGGCTCACAGGATTCGGCATCGCACCTTCAGCCAAGCTAAATCATGCCAAAGTGTTACATCATTATGTACCGTGCCATGTTGAATCATATCATTTTACAACTGCATTAGAGGGGCACAGGAGAGTAGTCCGCCACTGCTTTGTCAACCCTGGGAGTGTATTGTTCTGCTCGTCGCTGCCTCTGGTGATTCATAGCGCGGCTTTACAAAAGGTCCATTGATCGCACTACAACTTGTACCGTGAAAAAGTCAAAAACTGCTGAGTGGGAAGATTTCCCTTTTCCTTCTTATCAGATCCACTTCTTTTTTTTTTGCACAGTGTCAGGATTTTGATTCCTCGTATATATTATTCAGTGAATAGATATTTGAGAAAATGGGTTTGCAGTTCTCGGCTGGAAGTTTTCTTTTTTTTTTATAAAGAAAAGCAATGAATTCCAAGAGGTTTTTCATGTTCTGATAAAAGCACAGGATTATACAGGTCATGGTTTACTTCTCGACAATTGTGGAGCCCATCATCTCTGGACGTGTCTAGCTTCATGCCGTACCTGGGAAATGCAAGCATGCCTGCATGCGCTTGCACATTTACGCAGACACACCCATACAGTTTGCGGTGCGCCAGCTTTGCCTGACCTGACCTGCCAGAAACGACAGAGGTGGAGTGTGGATTTGACACACCTGTCAGATTTGGCAGGACTGAGCTGGCTGCGACTGAGAGGTAGAGACAACTACCATCCCAGAGGTCTAAGGAGGGGGGGGGGCGAGAAACCACCAGAGTAAGAAAAGAGTCGGATTCTGAAAGAGGGAGACGCAGGAGAACAAGATGAATCACTGGAAGTCAAATGGCAGGAAAGCCAGGAGATGAGAGCTCACGGCTTAAAAAAAGGATTCGTCTGGGTCTTTTGAAGTGGAGGACAGACATAAGAAACCTGTTTATCCTTCTTCTTCACCGAGACACTTGCTGTTTTCGCATCAGGTTCCTGTTTGGACACAAAGCTGCAACTAAAGGTCAACGGCACCGTTGAATCCTCTTCAATGGGGCTGTGCGCGGGAGTTAAAAAAACAGACCTTTTGTGTCTTGGAATGCATGTGTGTGGAATGAATGTGTGACAGGAAGTTGTTACCTGAGTCCGCCAGTAGCACTGTGTCCATCTGTTGCTGTTGCTGGAGGCGACGGCTGATTGGCTAATGATGCTCTACTGGAGACCATTAGCCAGATCACATGGATGACTGGCTGGGCTTCATCTATGCTACGCAAGCACGTCTAATGATGGCGCAAGTGAAAAGCTACGGCTCGAGTCTTTCTGCAGAGCAGTGTGGTGTTGCGAGTGCACGCATGACTTGTTGGCTTTTAAAACCTGCTTTCACAATTTCACTTGTTAGTAAAATATCACGTCATAAGGAGTTCTTTCGGAGCACACGGCTCTTTAATTCCACAAAGCATACGCCGCATCTTCTGGCTGTCCATTGCTATGGTTACACCAGCAGCCCGTTCAGCCAATCACGGGTTTAGCAGGGCAGCTTGGACTCGGTATGAAAAGGTGGGTAAAGGGGTCTTGGCTGGTTCCTTGTAGTTCATGGAATCTTGCATCTCCCGGAGCATACCACCTTGATGGAGATTCTGACCACCCCTCCACCACAATTAAATGATTATGATCTTCTCCTTCTGCTCTGTCCCTTCTCTCTCTCTCTCTCTCTCTCTCTCTCTCTCTCTCTCTCTCTCTCTCCCACCACAATTCTTACCATTTTCTCCCCCCTCATCCTCTCCAAGCTGAGGAGTGTTCCCGCTGTTTGTCATAATGACACAATCTCAGCCTCTCGTCCTCCATTTCTGCTTCCCTTGTTCCAGCTCCCTCTAACTCTCTCTGTGTCTCTGTCTTATTTCCCTCGATGCGTTCGTGGACAGAGAGACAATACCGCTCCCTCTCTCTTTTTTTTGTGAGACATTTTTCTCAACTCTCTCATTACCCCTCTCCCTCTCGTCCATGCTTGTTCAACCTATCAAACCATCTCACTGGGGCTCCTGGTCTCCCCTTCTCCTCTCCTCATTTACTCTGTGTTACAACGTTGAGATTAGGTTGTCTGTGCCATTTTATTTCTCAGTGCTGCTTTATTGTTTTGGACTTTCTCTCTCTGTCTCTGGCTCCTTTCTCTTTGTTGCTTTGGACACAGTGCTGCTTTTTGTATACTGACCTGTGACCTTGAGAAGCCACATTGGATAATGGGCAAACAGCAACCAATACCGTAGACCTGTACTTTAGTGCTTATTATTAGCCTTTCCGTCTCCCTGCTTGGCCCTGGTCACTATGTATTGGCCCTGTCTCTATCTCTCTGTCTCTCTGTCTTTCTACCTGTCTGTCTCTCTAACCTTGAAATAACCCTTTCATTCTTTACTTTTACCACCTTTAAACCTCATCCTTTTCCCTTTTCATTTATCTTCCCCTCCCCATCCCCTTTTACAGATGAGATTGAGATGCTGGAGCGCCTTTGGCTATCAGGTATCTGCCATAATGACAAAATTGAGGTGATGAGCAGTAAACTGGATATTGACAACATGGCTGGGGTCTTCTACATGCTGCTGGTGGCTATGGGCCTAAGTTTGCTGGTGTTTGCCTGGGAACACTTGGTGTACTGGAAGCTTCGCCACTGCATGGCCACCAGCTCTGGCAAATTAGACTTTCTCCTGGCAATCAGCAGAGTAAGTGTTTTTATCTTTGTGTGTGTGTGTGTCTCTGTGTATGTGTGTTTTTGTGTTGCGTGTTTTTAGGACTGGCACACCAAAATATCGTTTTTCAGACATTCTGTTAGGTGTTTTAGAACCGATGCGGATCCACATTTTTGCTGCCAATGTTTAACTTTTAACCCATTAAACCTATTAAAACTCCTACAATTTAGTGCAGTCATACTATTCTACACTATAAAAGGACAATATTATTGGAACAGACATGTTGTACACTCACTGTGTGAGAACATGTGTGCTCGTGCCTGTCTGCCCTTATCTGTTACTGAATGTGAGTGCTGGAAAGTGTGAGGTCCAGGGTCAATTCAATTCCACTTTGTCACCTCGAGAGATTAATTGAAATTCAATTCCGTTCGCACCCTGGATATCCTGTTCCTTTGACAGTGACCTTGACTGAAGAAGCCCCCACCATGTGCATTGGATTATTGTAGCTTCACTGAATTTTTCACCACTGTGGTCGTAATTTATGCATTTCTATATGCAATTCCACTAACCAAACAATGCACAACTGTACTATTAACAGGAATAGATAGCAATCTTGCAAGTCTTTAAAACTGAACAAAAAAAACACTTCTGTATTCTGTATATTCCTATATTTGCATTTAATGTGTTGGACATTATATTCAACTAAATACAGTTTATTTTATTTTATTTTACTTTGCTTATAAACTCTGTTTCTCTGACTCTGGTCTCGATTTGTTCTCTTTTTCTCAGGGCATGTATAGCTGCTGTAGCTTTGAGGATGAAACGGCACCAGGTGGAGCTAAATCTTTGCCCACTCATCACCACACAGCGATGGTTACAGTCCCGTCCCAACCGCACGTTGTCTCGACATCTATGACCAATCCAGTCATTGCCATGGCGCAACAGCAGCAACCTCCGCAACAGCAGCAACCGCAGCCCGTCTACAAAACGCCTCTACCGGGCTCTCCTCCCACCGTGGTGCATTCTGGAGCAGCACTGGGTCCCTCCAACACCCCCATTGCTGGTGCACCCCTTCCTTGCTCCACCTTCCTGCCCCGGCCAGACCGCAGACTGGCAGTGGTGGATCGCTGGAGGCTGCCCAAATCTGCTACAGCCACCAACCCAATGGCTGTAAGGGGGACAATCACTGACATGGGACCCTTTGCTCAGAAAGTCCCACCGAACTGGGCTTCAACAGCTGGAGGGGGTGGGGGACTTGAAGGCTATAAAAGATACTATGGTCCCATTGACCCTGAGGGACTGGGGCCCTGCATGGAGCAGCAGGCAGGGTCCCAGACCCCCAAGACTATGCCAAGGGGCCACCCCCAACCCCCTCCAGCCAGTGTGGCCTTCTATTCAGAGAAGGGCATGGACCACGGGGTGGGGAAGAGGGTGGTGGGAGGTGGCAGTGGAGGTCAGGGGAAAGGGGCCGGTAAACCTCTGGGCACTCCCAGATTGCCGCCTAAGAGTCAGGCCCCTCTGCCTCCTACACCCCCGCTGCCACACCCCTCTCCCCCTCTCCCCTCATCCTTCTGGAGGAAGCGTAGGCCCAAGAAGCCCAAAGAGCCTGGAGGGCCTCTGTATGAGAACATTCTGCCCCTGGGGCAGAGGGGAGGAGCACGAGATGGAGTGAGGGAGGGAGGAGGGAGGAGGGCACGCCCCCTCTCTCCCCCGCTCTCACTTCCTGTGCCAGTACCCCTCAGCCCCTCTTACACCCCTCCTTCGCCCTCTGCATCTTTGCACTATACGTCCTCCACTTCTTCGTCAACCACCTCGTCCACATCCACGTCCTCGTCTGCTTCATCCTCGCGCTCCACCTCTCCCACCTACTCTTACAGCTCCTCTAGGAGCACACGGGACAGGACTGGAGGAATAGATGGAGAGGACGATGATGACGACGAGGAGCTGACGGAAGAGTCCAGCCTCCTCATTGGTAGGGGGAGGGAGAGGGAACGCTCAATTCTTCAGCCTCGTTCCCTCAGCCATGGGCGCCTGCCGCCACCCATACCCCCCAGGAAACCACGCTCATCCTGGGGTGACAGAGAAAGGGAACGAGAGAGGGAGAGGGGGGGAAGCCAACTGTCTCAGCTCCAAGAATGGTGGGCCAGCTGGAGTGAGCGAGAGAGGAGTGGAGTGGGTGGAGATGCTGAGAGGCAAAAAAGGGAAAAGAAGAGGAGGAAAGAGAAGGAGAAAGAGAAGAAGAAGAAGAAAAAGAACAAAAAGAAGAAAAAGAGGGAGGAAAGGGAGAGAGAGCGAGAGAGGGAAAGAAAGCGGCGAAAGGTGAAAAAGAAAAAGAAAAAGGAGCTTAAGACAAAGAAAAGGAAGAAATCTATTGGGGGAAGACGCTCAGAGCCAGAAGAGGGAGATGTAGAGCCAGAGAGGGAAGGGGAGGTAGAAGGAGACAGAGAAGGAGGAATACAAGACTACTCGTTCTCTACGCAGTATCGTAACACATTTGGGGAGAAAGGACGGGATTCATGGGAAGGAGACAGGGAGAGAGGAAGGAGAGAAGGAGATGATGGCAATGACAGGGAACAGGAGGACAGCAGCAGAAGCAGGGAGAGGCGTCCCAAATCCTCCCGTTCCCATTCTAGGCATCTTATCCCCAATAAACGTTACCCTAACCTCAACAAACTCCCTGCATCTGTGAAGTTTTGGGTGAATGGAAGAGGTGATGATTCTAATACTCCTCCAGCTTCCCTCCACCCACTCCTTCCGTCCTCCAAGCGGAGAAGAAGCAGCGGGATGGACAGAGACGACAGTGGGAGAGTTGGCGAGCGGCGTCCTTTGTTAATGCATTATGAAAAAGATAAAGCACGGACAAGAGAAGGGCTTTCCTTCCCTGAGTGGGAATCGGAGGATGGCGACGAAGATGAGGATGAGCAACAGGAGGAAAGGCAGAGGGTGAGGGAGAGGGTGGGGGAGAGGGGGAAGAGAGCAGGTAGGGGGGCAGTGTCTGAGTCAGAGAGAGACAGGGCCAGGGCAGAGGACAGTTATTCAGACGATGGCTCGTCAGGGGAGTTTGGTCGTTTTGAAAGATACTGGGAGGGAGGTGCGAGGGGAAGCAGCGCGGGGATCGGGGGCATAGGGGGAGGAGGCTGGTTCTTTGGCACCTACCCCTCCCGAGAAAAAGGGGGCAGTATCAACAGTCGGGATGATTCCTTACTGGGAACGCGGGCGGAGGGATGGATTGGTGCTGATTTTTGGGGGCCAGGGACAGGAGTAGGTTGGGGCTCAGGGGGAGGGAGTGGAGGGCTCGGCTCACAGTGGCCGCCACCCCCCCCGGCCTTCCCTCCTCCTAGGAGGTACTGGTCGATGGACAAGATCCCTGTGAAGGGTGAGAAAAAGTGGAAGAGTGGAGGAGGGAAGAGCAAGGGACGAGCTAGAAACAGTAGGGGAGAAGCAGGACAGGCCACCATGTGTTCCTGCAGCCTTTATCCTCAACCGCATCCTTACCCACATCCCGCCAGCCACTCGCACTCCTCCCACTCCAAGAGAGGAGCCACTTCCCATAGCCAGGAAGAGCTTATCCCCCACTGCCACAGCTTCAGCGGCGGCTCTCGCCCCAAGCCTCTGCCCCCGAAACCGGATTCCAGTCAGGCCAAATCAGGCAGCCAATCTAACCTCAGCCTCAGCACACAGCCCACAGACCATCCGCCTCAGCCCTCGCCGTCGCCACCGCAGCCGTCCATGTCTCCCACCTCCCTACCGATGCCCATCCCGCCTCCCCCCTCCTCGGCCTCTGTTTCACCACCAGCAGGGGCAGGGATGGTCGGCCAGGGCCAGGCACAGGCTTCGGCCAGTGCCAAACTCCAGTATCAGAGACTGCGCTCGGGGCCACAGCCAACGAGGTTCTACTCCCCGCACCTGCCACTCAAAGCCAAGAGCCTGTGCTCTCGCCGAGGGTCGGCCCACTTCTCCAGCCTGGAGAGCGAGGTATGACAGGGGGAGAGGAGAGAGGGAGACGTGGGAGCAAGCACCACTGCTATTGAGAACCGTACCGCCATGGCAGCTGCAGCCAGGGATGACACCAGAGGTATGGCTGCCTTGGTAAACATAGGTAATCAATTAGCGACCATTACTGCGGCAACTGGTGGGGACGGTAGTTGTGCTGCTAGCGAGAGCAACTCCACCGCCACCCGCTCCATCGTAAGCGTGCTCGTGAGGGCGACGGTGAGACGGCACACCAGGGTGAGCTACATCCGTTTGGATGGTTCCCACGACGACGAGAGTGAAGGCGATGCTGCATCACGGGGGGCGGAAGCTCCCGAACTTATTCTCCGCTCAGAACTGAGCTTTGTGATGTCATCTTCGGTTCTCCTCCCCTCCCCGAGTCACAACTATGGATAAGAGTAGTCTCCAGCTTGTGAGTAATGATGTCATGTTTGTACACACAAACACACACACACACACATGCACAAACCCACACACACACACACATGCCCTCGTACACACTCGCAGATATATATGCTCGAAACGTCTCCCTCCCTCTGGCTTTGAGAACACACCTCGGTGGGACGTGGACAGACCCACCCTCTCCCAAAAGATGCCAGTGTTTAGTCAGTAGACTCTGGCTGCCTGTCCTCATTGGCTGTTGGCTTTTGAACTGGATTGTTGGACTGCGTCTTGGTCTTGGAGATACTTCCCCCACTTCTTCCCTTTTGTAAATCAGTTGATATGAAAAGCAATGCAGTCAGCTCTCTCATGCACTCTGCCTGCCTGATCACCTTTCACTGGGCAGTGAGGACAGTGCTAACTATTAGCCCTTCGACCTCCTTTGACACCGTCAGACCCACCTAGCTCTACCCCAGGACCATCTGCGTGATGTCATGTTTTACTAAAAAACCCTTTTCACCAAACAGATTGAACAGGAACCTCCTTGCCCTTCTACCTGTTGGAGCTTCTCATGTCTCTGTTCCAACGAGAGCTCGAACACAGCTGAGATTCAAAATATTTGAACAACAAACTGAACTTTAAAAAGAGAAATAACAATAACAACAAAAAAAAGACATGTAGCAGATTTATTTTTTGTCTGTCTATTATTTTCTTTCATACTGAGACTTTTGTCCCCATGCCCTCTTTTTTATTCTATCAATATATGTCTCTCATTGTGTTAGTGTCTTAATAAAGAGGAGGCTGGATGTGGCTTGTGTTGGAAGTGGGAAAGATTTAAGAGCGGTGCCAAATTTCCACTAAACAGCTTTAAGATTGGTTTCCAAGTAATTTGTTTTCATAGATTGCAGCGTCTCTTCTTTTCACATGTAAACAGTGCATAATTCCCCATCATGTTAATGAATTAAGGGGATGAATGGTGCAATATCTGCAATTGGCACTAGATGGCTGCATAATATTCAAGTGCGCTTTGGAGACAATTGTGCAAGAGGCTCGTGGTAAGTTTCATAATTATAGCTACATTATACAGAGCAAACGTTTTGCAGCTATGAATTTTATTATTTTTATAAAAGTGGCCCGTCAGGATTAATTCAGAGTAATTATTAAAACCAAGTGCAGTGCAATGTAAAAGCTCTTAGGATATTATTGTATTTCACTTCTATATTGTACCTTGGCAGAGTTTGTAGATGATGGATTATATGAAGCACAACATTCATTGTATTTTACAAAGATCCGTACCACAGTTGTAACCGCACAATTTACAGGTAGTATAACTTGCCAATGTGTGGAAAACTATTCACTTGATGTTAACTCATGTTGTTGTTATGGACAATAAAATTCACTGTTTCTAAGGCTCAAATCACAAAGTCCCACAGATGAGTGAGGTAATGATCTTGTGCTTTGACTATTTCCTTTTGGCAAATAAGACTGAACAATATACTGTGAATGTTTAACGTTCCAATTTGAGGTGCATATACAAGCTGAGACTTGACTGAATGCAGTCAGTAATAAGTCCCGTAATCGAGATCATCAGATGACTGTTTCACTTTGAGCAATATTCCCACCTTCAATGTGACAGCGATGCAATGGCATCTGAAACATTCTAATTGTTTATCCTCTAGAACATTTGTTTCAAGAGTCAGATGCTCACATCTTCACTGATTTTTCTTTTGGGTGGATTGTTAAATCCAATTTGGTCAGATGTAATTGAAATAAATGAGTTAAAGTCCACAGCACCTGGCTCTGGCTGACCAATAGGAATACAAAACGCTATGTGTTCAAGGGACAGTAGTGAACTGTGGCGTTGGGCCTTCTGGGAGCTTTGCCAAAAGCCATCTACTGTTGTGCCAAAATTGTTCCAATGTTGCCAACATTGCGACGCACACACTACATTTTCCACATATCCACCTCCTTTCTCACACTAAGACCAGCCACAGCCAAGCTCTTCTTCTATTGTAGTTGAATGTAGCTTTGACATGATGTAGCAAAAAAACACCTACTTTAAGTCTTTGTAGCTTTTTGGATGCTGTTGATAATGGCTCGGAGGAGGGGGGGTTGGGGGAGGTGGTGTTGACCTGCTATGTGAGGGACTGTACGTTGTGTTTGTGCATGTCGTCACAGATCGAAAGGTTAGTCGACCTTCTCAATTCCCCTTATTCTCCTTTGCCTTTCAATGGCGGCAGGCTGTACCTTTGATCTGCACATGGATTGCTTTTTTTTTCTAAGTCTGCGTGGGGCAATATTTTTTAAACCACATCTAAAATCTGAAGAAATGAAATTTTGAGAAATGTTTTTGCTGTTTTCCATCCTTTGGAAAAGCAGAATCATTGCAATGTTTAGCTGAATGAAATCAAAGAGATTTCCGGTGTTGGTGGGGGGGTGGAGGGGGGGGTTAGTTGTTCAATTGTAACAAAGGCTGAGGACCCAGGTAGTAAGCTCGCTCTACTCCCAACAGTGGAAACCACCGCACCAGTTTGACTGGTTCCTGTGTATTAAAGCACAGTCATTTTCAACCAATCAACAGGGCTTAAACCTGGTATGTCATTGAGCATTATTGATTTCTATTGAGGCGCTAATACTTAAGTCTGTGACTGCATGAACAGAAGTGACTCTTAAAAACCCTCTGGCTTATTTTTGTTTTGTTTATTTTTCTTTTATGCTAAGAAAAAATAATATATTAAAATATACTATGTTTTTGAGAATGTACCATGTTATACTGTGATTTAACTGAGATATTTTATGTATTCAATTATCATTTGAATTATATCATTTATCTATAAAGAAATATATATGTACAAATAAATATATACATATATATACATACAGGTGTATATATATATATTAAGTTTGGTATATTTGGAGGAAGTGTTAGATGAAATAGTTTTAAATGTTTTAGCTTTGTAGCGATTCTAGACACTGAAATCATTTTTGAATTTCGACTCCTCCTATATGACTGTGAAGACATTAGTGCCTGTGACAAAAAAGACAAGTAAAAGTCTAAACTCTCTCTTCATCTGTATCTACTATAGCTATCAGTCTTTCACTCCTCTCGTACTACCTAACATTACTTTTGACACTCGCTGCTTTTACCCATCGGCATGTTTCTCTCACACAGTTTGCTGCCTCTTTTGCGTTCTCCTTTGTTGCTCGTTCTGGTTTTCATCAACAAGCGTTCTCCACCTTAAAGTTTGGTGATCATAAGGTGATCACACCACTTTGTTAATTAACCCACCCATTGACCTTTTGCTTTTTTCTTTGATCGTTTTCTTTTTCATCAGCTCATTCTTCTGTCTGTCTCTCACTTAGCAAAAAACAGAGACCAGTAGATACTGTGTTCTTGCTCCTTTTGACTGATTGTTGATGATGATGATCAATTCATTGATTGATGAAATAATTATTGAACAATGTTACTATTACTTATGTGACTGAATTGTGTATCTGACGACCATGCCACTGTAGCAAGTCTGGGCTGTACCACACCACCAGCGAGCAAATGAGGCCACAGTTGCTATGGTGTTGCCATGGCATTTTCATGGCGTTGCCATGGTGTCCTCCGCACCGCCTCCACCTGGTGCCTGCTGGGTAATATAGCATAATGTCCTTCACTTTCTCCAAAGCACTGGTCAAAATCTGCTTATGCTCCTCCCAGCTCAGTCCCGACCTTAACCAGTGCAAGGTGAAATACTCTAAAGCTCCCGTCGGAAGAATGCTGAGGGGCAGAATGGTGGTGAGCGGTCTGCTGTCCATGCTGATCTAGACTGGACTGGTTTGGCTTGAAGTGGCAACGGTATCGTGTTGATCACCTAATCTGTAAATCGTGGGTTTATGCTGCCCTGCATGTAATCCCAGAAGCTCTGGATCACTGATAGCCTCAAACAAGTCAGGACACAACTGCGTCTCTGCCTGTGTATTTCTAGTATTTAAAGTCTTGAGAGGATACATGCCATTTACTGCATTTGTATTGCATGAGCACTAGTCATTTGAAAAAACCCACTGCAGCATGGTTCTGTAATACTCTCCTTCACTCCCCCTCTGCTTTTTTCCCCCTCTACTGCTATTTCTGAAAGACTCATACGCTCACACTTTGCTGTGCATGCATATTTAACACACAATGCGTACATCACTCAGCCAATGATCCTCATCTTCCTCTAGCACTCACTAAGCTGCAATCTAAAGCTACTCCTCAAGTAGTCCGATCATCCCTCACAGGCACACGTGCGACACAATGCACGTCCGGCCACACACACCAAAACTGCTCTAAATTAATTTGTGTAAAATAACACTTTGTTAGTGGAGGAAGTTAAGTACATTCACTGCTCTGCCTGTTTTGAGCTATCTGTTTCTAGAGTTTGTGATATAGTCTTGCACTCTTGCTTCTCACTGTCCTGCCTGTTCTGATCCATCAATCCCCGTTTGGAGTGGTCAGGTTCAATTTGTTTTTCTTTGCTGACTTGCTCCTCTTTTTGATTTACCTCGTTGTCCCTATCTGCCTTGATTTATCACATTTACTGTCTGGTTGAATTGTATGTACTGAACAGTCCAGTCCAGCCTAGCACAGCGTGCTCCAGGCCAGTCCAGTTTCTGAGTTGTAAGCGATCCCGGGCGCAGCCTCAAGCTCATCCCCTCTTTCTACTGGCCCAGTCACCTGGGAAGCAACACGTGTGGCGCTCCGGAATTCAAACAGGGTCTTCATTGGCGCAAGCGGCCGTGAATTATATCAAGGAAACACAGGAGTGCCACACGTTACACTCACCAGGTCCAGGGTCTGCATGTTGCACCATGCCAGGCTTAACCTACCACAGTGACAGGGCACATATACCCACAGAAACCAGTGTGTGTGTGTGTGTTTCCAGCATTGTGCAAGGCCCACTTCTGCTCTAGTAACCTCGCCAGCACTGTAGGCCTACTTATGGGTTGCTAAGGCGGGTTGCTAGTGGGGTGATGTTGCTCCTAGCCCAGACTGGTCTGGTCTGCGCCCTAATTTTAAATGTGTTAGTTTATTTGACATTGTCTGTCTGGGGTGGGGCTGGAGGGTCAGTGCTGCACTTACTTCCTGAGAATTGCTTCATAAAATATGATTCTCTTTAATTAATGCCAGTGGTGCTGTGTTTCCTTCCAGTTCTTTTGTCACGATTTTGATTATAAATAAGGGGCCTTCAGATTTTACTGTGCGGGCGTGTGTGTGTGTGTGTGTTTTCTCTTGTGACGGTATTTTCCATGGAAGCTAATAGCCCGTCAGAACTCCTTCAAAGTAAATTTATGGAGAGCTCAAAGAGTAGTTTCTTTGGCATTCTGACAGGAAGTCTTCTGCCAAAGGATGTGTGTGCGGTATTTGTGCGCGCGCGTGTGTGTGTGTGCTTGCTTGCTTGCATATATTTCTCAGAAGTTTCTTGGTTCTTGTCAGACTTTAGCTTTGATCTGGCCGGAGCTGACCTAACACAATCCACTTCTTTTACCCTGAAAGAGAGCAACACACCGAACACTCGGCCTCAACTCTCAACAACAGCGGCTGAGTCAGAGCCACCCGACCAGCTCTGCTACAACAAACTTTAACAGTTTGACCCCAATGCAGCTTCCTCTGGAGACATCTTTAGACCTTTTGAATTATGTTTTAATTGGGAACCTTTATTGATGGCTTTTTATTTTCTTTCGTTGTGGTTGTTTCATGGTCAAATTTAGTCGAAAACTCAGAACGGTGAAACTGAATTTGAACTAGTTTCAACACTGTTTGGTCCTCTGTGGGGAAATCTCTTTGTTCTCAAAACCACTTTTGAACGTGGTCACTGATACGACTGAGTTCTTAAAAAATGCTGCTAAACCAAGCATGTCGAAACATCTAAACGGTACCTTACACATGCTATTGTACAAGAATGTTGATGGGGGTATCAAATATGTTTTGTTCTGCTTCCTGCGTGCCTGCGATCTGCTAATTAGCCATGGTTTGTCAGTGTGATGGGCTAATGGCTAATTGCATTGTGAGGCCACCGCGTGTACATGCAGTAATTACTTAACGCTCTAATAAGATTGAGTTACAGGCAGTATGATCACGGTGTCCCAAAACACTGATCTGGGGTCGGTGTTATGCTTTTCTCTCTGATGGCTACGATGGGAAAGTGGAGCTGATAAACGGATCCTTGATCTGCTACGTGGAGGAGTTATCACTCATCATTCATCTTAAAGCCAACAGTTAGACGCCAACGGTGATGGATTTGCTTTTTAGCTTTTTTTCAATGCAAATAAAATACAGGAAATGTACATTCCATTTAGCGATCTAGCTGCTCAGCTCTGCTTTTATCTTGAGTTGTAAAATGCGCACGATCTAGATCTGGACTGTTGATAAATAACTGCGGTCGACACAGATATCTGCTCCATTCTTTGCCCCTCCTTTTCCCTTCTCCTCCCTCTTATAGCACCCTGTCCTCAGTCAGCTCTTCATGGTCACACACACACACAGTACAGTGACTTATGAGCGGTGTTTGGGAAATGAATGGAAAGAGAGGGCTGCGTCCTGGTGCAGTAGATTGATCCCATACTGATCTGCCCCTGGGTCCCATGGGATTTATAACGCATGTCTGTGGTGCAGGGGTTAAAGATTTCTCTCTCTCTCTCTCTCTCTCTCTCTCTCTCTCTCTCTCTCTCTCTCTCTCTCTCTCTCTCTCTCTCTCTCTCTAGAGGGACACGAGCGCCGCGTCTTGCAATGCGGTGCAGTGGCCCTTGTGCTCACCCTCCATCTCTCTCAGTATTCTGCCAATATCAAGGTCTTCTTCGTCGCTCTGTTTTGATTTCCTTTCAATTCTATTTCCCACGACTCACTCTGTCATGTCATTGTTCTCTACATTATAATATATTAATTATATCTCTGGTTAATCCCTTTTTTAAGATCTGTCCTTTTTTTCAACTGCATTTCACTGATCATGTCTTTGTTTAACTGAGCTTTTGCTGACACTATTGTCTTTTATATGTGTAATCCATTGGACTCTTTAGATATGCACGCACAGAATTCCTTAATTGTCGTCGGCGTACATCTGCACACACTGTTATCACACACATGCAGTACATGTGGAGGGGGAGTTTGGTTTCCCTTTCATCATCTGTGCAGCGCCGCAGGGTTGTACAACCCATCGGCTTGATCTCTGAAGTTGAAAAAGAAAACCCACCCAGGAACTCTTTCATCTCATGCGTTCTTCCCCCCCAAGCTTCTTTTCTCTGTCGCCGTTTTCACAGGAGCTGCACTGGACCGAGGCCAGGAACAAATGTGCTAACTGACCCACAGCCGATACGACACTGTTTGTTTTGTCTGTGTATTTAGGTGAGAGATAATCGTTTGTTTTTCCTCGTGTATGTGTCTGTCTGTTTCCATGTGTCCATGCTTTCTTATCATCCATTCAAAACAGGCAGTCGGAGGAGAAGTTGGAAAAATCGGTGACGGATTAATTAGTTGATATTGTAAGAAAACAGAAACGCAGAGAATACACTGTAATTTAAGTACTTGTATGCAAATTCTGCCAGTATGTGTGGCTACATGTATGTGGCTACATACACGTGTGCTGGCCGTCCTCAAAAGAGCCGTCGATATGTTTGAAGCAACATTACCAGCGCATCTTGGACAAAATGATTCATACATCCTTGTTTTGCCTTTTGTGTGCGTGTGTGTGTGTGTGTGGTAATGCCCACCTACCCAACTGGGTTGAAAATTAAGGTATCCTCAGACTTTACCTTGTTCTCCTCTCGCCTCATCATCCAATCTCCCCTCTTACCCCGAATCTCCTGCCCTCCTGCTTCCATCCTCCTCCCTGAGCACCTTCTCTTCCACACCTGCAGAAGTAAGGAAGGTTTCGCAGCTGAGGCTTCGAGTCCTTGTTAGTGTTTTGCACATACTGTGAATGGTAACGCGTAACAGCTCACATGCCTGTTTCACTGGTGTCAGTTGACGATCTATCGGCTTGGCGACGGCCCCAAACTCATTTCGCTCAAGGCCCCGACCTTGATAGAGCACACGTCTTTCACAGGATAACACAATCCTATTGGACGGCTCAAGCCGGACTTGGTAACTGTTGTTATGTAGGTAGATAAAAAAGAATATAAAAAAAGATCATGAAATGATAATATTCTGCTTGTCTAGTTCAAGCAGTTGTTCAAATTCAAAATTCATTGGGGAGTCAGAAACACAACGCAATATGAATAACGTTCATGTTCCTCTGTTCCTCTCTACTGTTAGATGTCAAAATAGGCAACTAAATGAAATTAGGCAATGACTACTATTTTTTGTTAAACAGCGTTAACAACTGTAGCATTTACTTTGTGTAAATGCCGTGTTTTCTTCACACATCTTCTCATAAAACATCAGTTTTTCAGGTTTAAAGTTTCACCTCAAAATCAACCAACAGCTTTTTGCACATAAAGCAGCAGACAAGTATGCAAAAACAACATCCTGTAACATAGTGGTACTAAAGAAAATGGGAAAGGCAGCAGATTATTAACCCATGAGGCATGGGCGTTATATGTTACATTAAACTGGTTTAATGTATTTTCAGCCCTTATACCACTCTCCTAAATACTTGAATGTCCCTCGTAAGCCGTCAACAAACCGAAATCCATGACTCCATGCGGTAAATTTGATTCAATGTACACAACTGTCTCTTATTTGTCCATAGGATTTTTCTATTTTAGCAGTATTTGTTGCTGAGAGGCAGGTCAGCAGTAAAGCAAATATTGAGCGCGGGCTTATTTGCTTCGGCGCTGGGAGTTTGTAGGCCATGCCGAAAGCCCTCGCCGCCTGCCAAATGTCTCATCTGACTGGCGTGGAGGTTTGTTGCTCCCTTCCAAAAACACGGTAGACCACTCTTCATTAAAGGAAGCAAATAGAAGCACATCCCAACAGAAAACCAATACAAGCAAACAGAGCCAATTGGTTCTGAAGAGACGAATTTAACAGGGTGGATATGATTACCTCAGACACCACTTCTCGCCCGGTTCCACAAACAACAGTTAGGCAAGTCAATTTGCTTTAATTTCATTGGAGGAGAAATAACGCCAGCGAGCCAGCCAGGTTGAAGCGGTGCTCGACGTGAGTGAGCGTTCGTTAGACAATAAGGGATGCGTGTAATTGGTGAAGTGCCAAATGCTCCCCCCCCAAAAAAATATTCCACCGAAGGAGGATTTTCTGTTTCATTAGGCCGTGGTCAGAAATAATAAGACGGCCATCTGTAGACTGAACGAGACGAGGGAGAGCGGAGAGAGGGAGGCTCATTGGGAAAGTGTTCATGATCAGAAATGGCAGCAAACGCTTCCAGTTCTGTCACAGAATATTGATCATTGTTAAAGTGGAGAGACGGATGTTGGTGTGTCTTCTTATTTGATCTGTAATCGTCCTTTTTTTCTGTTGTCATCTTGTTTATACGTTGCATTTTATCTTCCCCTCTATCCGCGCTTTTATATCATTTTCTGTCAAGTCATAATCGCGCCGGCCCAATCTTATGTTTTTCCTTCCGCCGCTGTGTGAGCGTCTTTTTAGTTTACAGCCTTAATGTATCACAAACACACACACACACACACACCAGCTCGCTTTCGTGGCCCGTGATCACACACTGTGCAGCGCGCTCCGATAGGCACGCAAACGCACACTGATACGGACACTTTAGATTCACAAGTGCTTACTCATCACGCCGCGTGCAGCGGAGACGCTGTGAGCCGCTCGTGTGCTTTGTTTTTCAATGTGCTGATTTCTGAGCAGTGCACGGCCTACCAGCTCCTATTTCTGTGGCCCCCACCGCCCCCCTTTTGTTTTTTCTCTCACACTATGTGAGGACAACTTCCGCATTTTTTATTTTTTTTGTGACAACAAGAACAAGTACGTGACTGGTTTGAGATAAGACTCCAATGAAGACGTGGACGGCGGCTCCATAGCGAGCGGTCTGGTGACGGTTTGTGTGTGAGGAAAGTCCCCCCCCCCCCCATCATTTCCAATCAGCTGCTAGTTCAGCATGACTAATGCAGAAATGACATGTATATCATTGTTCACGCAGGCTTTCAGTACACACATACAGTAATAACGACACACACGGGCTTATGCACGCTAGCTCACGCTTATCTTGTTGGCTGACACCATTTTGCTCTCTAACAATCTTAGCTAATTATAATTGTTAATTAATTCCCTGCCAGTGTCCTCATCAGGAGACTAATAACCTACATTTCCATCAATTAGACCTTCAACCCTTCGCTCCCGCTGCCGGTCTCTCCGTCCCACCACAATCCACCCCTTCGTCCCCCGCACCCGCCTGCTGCTCCCTCCTCCCGCAGATTGTCCCGTAGATCACGTGCACACATGGAATGTGATTAATTCTGTGTGTGTGTGTGTGGGGGTTTCTGTGTGTGTGCGTCGAGCCATCGAGTTGCGGGGTCGAAGGGATAATTGGACATTTTGGGAAATACACTTATTCACTTTCTTGCTGAGAGTTGTAGGAGGCCGATACCGTTCTCGTGTCTGTACAGTTACTATGAAGCTAGAGTAGCTGGTTAGCTTAGCTTAGCATAAAGGCTGCAAATGAGACATTGATTAGCACGTTGCATGACGTGTTTGTACAGTTGATTTGTGTGGGGATTATGTTGATCTGTGAGCTTTCAGAGGTGCTGGTGCTTCATGCTTAGCTAAGCCAACCAGCTGCTGCTTCTTACACACACCAGATGTGTTTTGTTCTCGGCAAGGAAACAAATAAGTGAATCCCCAAAAATGTTAAACTTTTTCTTTACAGCTTTGTTTGGGATTCATTAATGAAAGCGATACAAATATTAGAAAGATACACTGTTCCTGTGCCTCAGGATAATACAACGCAGATGTTGATACAAACACGTGTGTGTGTGTGTGTGTGTGTGTGTCCTTGACAATGTGAGGGCGATCAATGGACAAACAGGTTTTCCCTCTAGGTGACCGTCTTCCCATCAGGCTCAGCTGACCTGGTTTCAGTGCACACTGGGGCTGCCTTGTCACGTCTCCACTCTGATCTCAGGACCAATTGTAGACGCAATAAAAATGCTTTTAGCGGCTCCGTAGCAGAGAAAAACTAACAGGGTTGTTTATTTCACAGGCCCGTTGATACTCAAGTCTTCTAAGCAGTCATTTCCGGTTCTAGTTGTCGGTTAATGCACCTCTGAAGCTCTCTTCTGTTTTCTTCCAGACGCCATTCTCTCTCTCTCTCTCTCTCGCTCTCTCCCCGTCCTTCCCTCCGTCCATCTGGCACTAGAGGAAGTGAGAGACAGTTGGCGCTCGCTTGTCCATACTGTAATGGTGGTGGCAAAAATGGCAGCTTCTGTCTCATCCGTCCTCCTTCCTGTACCTCCCTCACCCTCTCCTGAGAGAAGTAACCCAGATTTAAAAATGAATCGCTGCCTGTTCCCCTCAATCGCTCTTCTCTCTCTCTCTCTCTCTCTCTCCCTTCGTCTTCCTCGTCCTCTCTCTCTTTCTTTCTCTTGCTACATCTCTCATCTTCTTAGTAAAAACAGAGTCAATCTTGGAAAGAGAATACCACCTCTCTGTTTTGTCCTCCTCCTCACCCTGCCTCTGGGTTAACGGATATACACACCGCTTCCCTCTTCTATCTTTGGTCCATTGAAAACTTGAATCGCTTATTGGTTTGGCTTTTTTGTAAATTATTTTTATTTAATTTTATATTTTTGGCTGATTCTTTTTGACTAAAGCACCGTCTTCATCTGCTTTTTATTGAGATAGCCAGCTACAGGTGTGACACCTTACCCTTTCTTTTGAAGTGAGCCCAACAAGGAGAAGAAAGGGAGGAGGAAGAGAAGGAAGCTGTCCTTAAGTCAAGCTATTCCTCCAAAATCGCCCAAAATTCAGGTATTACAACTTTGTGTTTTTTTGCCATATGCACACATTTTCTGAATACATATTTCTTGCTTACATTCATTTACAAGTTTCTGAGCACTGTTCCAACCTTCTCACCTTCTTCTTCCTACACCATTTTGACTGATTAGTTTCTGCTTCCTTTTTTTGAGAAACCATCATTTCATCAGATTTTCTTCTGGCATGTTTTTTTTTTTTTTTTGAATTGTTGTTATGGGCATATTTATTTATTCATTAAATCTCTTTGGGGGTTTCATTCCTTATTTAAGATGTGTGCAACTCTTGCGCCACAATCTCAGCAGATGATGTTTTGCTATTATACATCACGGGCATCACGTTCCCTGCAGACATGTACATATTATTCAGGTCCAAACTTTCCTTCTGAAATGGGACTCGTTGCTAATAGGGGCAGGCTGGAAGCTGGAAGCGGACATAGAATACACGCTCTAATATGGGAGCAGTTTGGGGAGTTGTCGACATGGCAACAGGAGGCACAGTTGACATAATGACCAGGATGTGAGGTTGGTTTAGTCATCGCTGCCGAGGGGATAGAGATATAAGCGGCAGGGACATGTAGGTACAATGGACACGGCGTATTTAGGACAATCAGTGAGTTGCACTAATCGTTTAGCGTCTCCGAGTCTCTTAGGAGGGTTCTGTCTCCTTATTCCACGTCCTTCATTTAACCATTCTGTTCTCTATCACCCAACGCGTCACTATCCCTCTACTCCCTCCATCTTCTTCTGCACTTCCTGTTCTTTCTCGATCGTTCTCTCCATCACGCCCTCCTTCGTGGCGCCGTGCGTCCCACGTGCCATCATTACGACTCCTGTTGCTACCATGACCCATTCCAGTTCCCCCCCCCCCTCCTCCTTCTTTTCCTCCCCTGTCATTGCTTCCTCCCCTCCCCTCTTCCTTGTTCAAGGTCTTTCGCCTGTATCGTAACTATACCCTCCTCACTGACTCTCATCCACCCCCCCCTCCTCCCCTTTATACTGTATCTTTCAGGCAACATGTCCATCCCGGTGTCCCCTCCCCCCTCCCTCGCCCCGTTGACACTGGTTTCTCCAGCATCGGCGACCTCCCCCGGTGTCTCCCCGCTGCCCTCGCCCCTCTCCCCTCCAGCCAGGGTGCCCGTGTTCCAGAGGAGGGGGGCGCTCAAACACAAGAGGATCGTGGAGGTGAAAGACCACCAGTTCACTGCCCGCTTCTTCAAACAGCCCACGTTCTGCAGCCACTGCACTGACTTCATCTGGTAACACACACACACACACACACACACACACACACAGCTGCACATTTACACAGATACCAACTTAGCGGTTCATAAGCCGCCGCCGCCGCCTCCTCACGCATCCCACTATACTCAGCCTGACTTTCTTTGCACTCCTTCTCTCTTAAACTAGCTGCAGCTGCCTGCTGGAGAACCGTCCTACCACACTGACCTGATCTGAGCACATGTCCTCACCTTCAGCCCACACAGTACAGCAGTTACTCGAGGAGCTTCATCACACACATGCAGACCCACGTATACACACGAGCCACATCTCAATTAGGACATTTTTGCCAGCAACAGTACGCATGCACATATACAGACACGCGCAGGCAGCCGCGGGGGGAAGAATTATTTAGATGTTTAAGGTATTTCCCTTCCATAAAGATGTGGAACTCCAAAAATCCACCGAAGAACTGGTCTAAATGACTATTATTCTGGAGCATGAACAAAGCTCGAAAAATGCTGCATCTTACAATTCCCATAATGCAACTCATTGGGAAACTTAAATTAGATCCTGCCCATTTGTGTTTGTTTTTCAGACCTAGCCCAAGCTCCTGCAGTGCCAAAAAAGACATTATGGAATTAAAATTGGTGTACCGTAAATACCACAACAGCAGAATGCCTCATCAGAAAGCGTTGGAGGGTTCTGCTTTCAAAAATCCTCCCAAAAACCTTTGATAGTGAACATTTTTATTAAGTATAAGCAATGAAATTAACTCTTAAATCAACAAAACAAATTAAAACTCTAAAGTTGTATTTTAAAACACTTTCATAATCATTGGATAAATTGGAATTTGGAAAAGTGCATTTTTTAAAGCTGGTTTTTGAAGTATTTGAAGACACGTGGTTTTTAACCAGGCAAACAATTTACAGCTTAATAGCAGAATATGAAAACTATTCTAAAAATAGTAGGCAATGCAAATAAAATCAAGTGAAAATACATCTAAAAACTATTAAATGGCCAATGCCTGAAAACGTTACTGAGATGGAGCACTTGAGTAAATGATTTCAGACATGCAAGCATTTGGGTTCAAGAATATCCATGCAAACAACCATGCAGTTAGCTGCTCTTTCCAGTGAAGCTGTGTGTGTGTGTGTGTGTGTGTGTGTGTGTGTGTGTGTGTGTGTGTGTGTGTGTGTGTGTGTGTGTGTGTGTGTGTGTGTGTGTGTGTGTGTGTTTGGACATATGCTGGTGCTGTATGTTGGACACATGCTGGTGCTGTATGTTGGACACAGGGCAGTGCATTTGCCAGTAGCCTCTGGGAGGCTTTCAGGACATTTCTCCAACTGTCTTGGCTGCATGCAGCACAGTTCAGAGTGAAAAAACTTATTTCCTTCCCACAGAGTGTTAGAGCAGCAGCTCTCAATGTGGGAATTGTAGCCCTGGAGGCAATTGGTAGATTAATTAAAAGACTTAGAAACGATA